AGAAAGAGACAGAGAGTTAGATAGATAAAAAGAGAGAGAGAGAGAGAGAGAGAGAGAAAGACATAGACAAATGGAACATAGAAACATTTATTATACTCTTACATAAATTAATAATGATCATCAATTATTATCCATCTAATCGATCATTTTTAACAAATGAATCAATCATAAATTACCATTAAACCTACAATATTACAACATCGAATTTAATTGTAAAAAAAAGAAAAAAAAAGTAAGGAAGGAAGGAAGAAAGAAAAAGAAAAAGAATTTTCTCGATGCATTTGACGATTGATTTCTCTTTGGGTCGATCGTCAAGGTCGATATACCTTTTTTTTTTCTTTTTCTTTTATTCTAATTTATTCTTCGTTACTTATTTATTTTTTTTTGTTTTGTTTTGTTTTGTTACTCCTTTCCACAACTCATGTTTAATAACATTGTTGATTTGTTCGTTTAATTATTTTTTTTATCGTGTTTTTAATTATTTGTTGTTGCTGTTTTTTTTTTTCATTTTTTTTTGTATTATATATCAACATTTGTGAAAATAATAGTTTCGTGTGATTTATTTGTAATTAATTTAATTATGAAACAGTAGAATTAATTATTAAAGAGTTAGAAATAAAAGAAAAATGTAGCACATGAATTATATTTTATTAATTATTATTTTTTATTTCGTTTAATTATTTTGTTTTGTGTGTGTTTTTTCTGGTATTTTTTATTTTATAATAATATCTGTGAAAAAAAAAATAGTTTCGTTTAATTTATTTAATTATTATAATTTAATTATTAAATATTAGAAACAAACAAAAAATGCAGCATTTTATGCAACATTAATTTCATTAATTATTTTTTATTTTGTTTAATTATTTTTTATGTTTTTTTTTTTAAATTTATTTTATATTAACATTTGTGAAAAAAAAATAGTTTCATGTAATTTATTTAATTACTATTTTTATAATTTAATTATTAAAATATTAGAAATAAAAAAAATTTAGCATCAATTAATTTCATTAATAGTTATTTTTTTAACTTGTTTAATTATTTGTTTTCTGTTTTTTTTTTTTTGTATTTTTTTAATTTCAATCAACATCTGTGAACAAAATAGAATTTTTTAAATTACAAATTTTCTTAATTAGAAATTAAAAAAAAAAAAATACGCAGCATCTTATTTGTTCGTTTAATTATTTTTTTTATCATGTTTAATAATTTGTTTTATTTTTCTATTTTTTATTAACATTTGTAAAAAAAAAAAAATAGTTTCAAGTGATTTATTTAATGATTTAATAATTTGCATTATTATTATATTATTAATTATTAGTATTGTATTAGTATTTATTTAATTATTTAATAATTTGTATTGTTATTATTCTATTATTTATTAATATTGTACTAATATTTATATAATTGTTTAATAATATGTTTCTTCTTTTTTTAATTTTTAATATTAACATCTTTGAAAAATTAATTTCGTGTGATTTATTTAATTGCAAATTTTGTTGAAATAAATTTTTAGAAATAAAAAAAAAAAAACCACAGCATCATCATATTTGTATGTTTATTAATTATTTTTATTCGTATTTAATTAATTATTTATCTCTATTTTTATTTTATTTTTTATCTTATATTAACATCTACGAAAAAGAAATAATTTCGTGTGATTTATTCAATTACAAATTTTATTTTATTTTTTTTTTTTATTTCTAATCAAAAAGTAACACAACAACACAACCTATTTGTTCATTTAATTATTTTTTTGTTATCGTGTTTAATTAATTTGCTTTTATTTTTATTTTATTTTTTGTTTTTTATATTAACATTTGTTCGTTTAATTATTTTCAATCGTGTTTAAAAATTAATTATTTTTTATTTTATTTTTTATTTCATATTAACATCCTGTAAGAAAAGAAAAAAAAAATAGTTTCATCAAAAAGAAAAAAAAAAAAGAAATTCTTTTTCTATTCTTTCGATTAATAATTTGTTCTCTTTTTTGTTTTTTTTTTTATTAGATCAAAAAGTAAAACACACACACACACGCACACACATCTGTTAATATTAATTTAATAAACTAACACAATGTGTATGTCTCTGTATGTGTGTGTGTGTGTTTTATTTATTCTTTTTTACGTTATTTCGTTAATATGATTCATGATAATGGAATGTCGAAGTTCTCTTAACTTTTTCTTAGAACGTCATTAAATAAATATCTACTCTTGTCATTATTTTCTTTGCCATTTGTAAATTGTCTCGGTTTCTTTTCAAAAAAATGAGGATAATAATTTTTTCGATAACGAATATTGTGCCACGTTTGCGATCGTAATCACCTGTGTAATTTCAATTAATACGCGAATATAAAATACCTGTGCTCAAAATACCTGTTGCATGTGTTTCACACATTCCTAAGTAACATACAAATTTCTAATTTTATTTTTTTCTGTTTTTCTTTTTTGGCGGGGAGTGGGGTGGGAAGGGGAGGGGAGGGAAGGGGTATCTTTTTCTTTCATTCAATATAGTAGGATCATTGATATTACATTTTCATTTCTTTGATTTTTTAAATATAAGTTCATATGTGTGTGTGCAATTTAATTTATATAAATATCATAAATAATACATTTCTTAGTTTTTTTTTTTTTTTTTTACAATAATATTAGTTCAAATTTCATTCAATAAATATTATAAACAATCATTCTAATAGAATTATATTAAAAATATACAATATAATATAAATGAGAAATAAATTATTAGAATATAAATATTTATATTTAATAGAATTTTATATATTAAACAAAATATATTTTACAATACAATATATTTTACAATAATATTAAATATACAATATAATATAAATGAGAAATATATATATAATTTATTAGAATGTAAATATTTACATTTATTATGTATTTTATAATTTATATTTTTTTAATTTATATTTACATTTTATATTATATTCTATAATTTCATATATTAAACAAAATATATTTTGCAATACTATTATTTTACAATACAATATATTTTACAATAATATTAAATATACAATATAATATAAATAAGAAATATATATATATATATATATATATATATATATAATTTATTAGAATATAAATATTTACATTTAATATAATTTCATGCATTAAACAAAATATATTTTACAATAAAAAAGCAATTCTATAATTAAATCTTAATATTTTAATATCTTTTATAATATAGAAGAAGTTTATTTTTCAGGTATACCCCTTTAGGGTGTTTACCCCGAAGGCCCCCACTACATTATCTTTTATAATATAATATTAATAATAATAAATAGAAAAATGAAACAATGATATTATAGATTTAAATAATTAACATCTTAAAAAAAAAAAAAAAAAAAAAATACAAAATAAAAAGTAATAAAATCTTTATATCAATATAAAATATTAAATTTAAATATATTTCAAATATTAATATTCATTTTTCAATTAAT